TTATACATATAAATATCATAATAAATGACAAAAAATATATACGAGCAATATGTATGTATTGTCCATGTATGACCATGTGTCTGCTTTGCGTTCCCAATTAAACTGGTTACCTATAATTCACCAATAATTAATTGTAGTGATATGATATGATATTGGTCCACATTCATCTAGTCCCAAACTAAGCAGAGCTTGTATTATGGGTACTAGACAACTGATAGTTTTTTTGGAGATACATACATATTATTCATAGAAACACCCAGACCAAATCAAATATTAAAAGTTCATGCACACAAATGTTTGACTTGAGCGGGAATCGAACCCGCGACCTTTAGAATAGCAGTCCGTTACACAAACCACTACGCCATCGCCAGTCGTCATCAGTAGTCAGTAGGATTATTATCATACAGACAATTAACTTTTGAATGGGGAAAAATTAAAAAAAGAATTGTTATCATACGACAACTTTTTTCCCGACTGTAAATCCATATTTACACAAATGTTAAGTTGGTTTGTGTACGCTTATAAAACTCAAAAAGTTTTGTACAGATTGAGCTCAAACTTTGACACTTCAAAGATTGGTTTTAGCTATTTTTCTCGTTAGTTTTGTGCATGCAACGCCAATATGCCATAGTGAGGCGTGACAGGGTATAGCTAGTGTGAAATGAAATTTTGAAATAGTACATAGGTATTTTAAAGACATTTAGTAGGTGTGAAAACTGTTTTGTCATTAAGAAATTCGTTTGCAAAATGTAAAACTTTAGAGTGATATTTTTATTTACGACCAAGTAAGTATCTCTTGACCATTTCAAAAAAAAAAAAGTAATCTAGAATCTAACGTAGCTGGAATATACATAAGGTAAATCTCTGTATAAAACATCGCTAATAGTACAAACATTCACCTCACTGTCTCCTCTAGAACCAACAAATTCACAAGCTTACTAAGCTTAGCACGTTTACGACATACGTAAATGTGGCAAGCGTAACGAATTATTTAAGGCTTTTAGAGTCACGTCTACGAATTCCGTAGGCATGTGCTACAAAAGCTACGGTTCGTAGCTCATGGCTACGTCATGAGTTCATGATCATTTTAGTACTGAGATGAAAAATTTACATGCGTGAGCAGTGGTAGTTTATACGACTGCTGTGCTTAGGTCTTGGATTCGATTTACGGGTCAGACCAAATGTTTGTATGAGCTGCAAAAAAATGTTTCTTTGTATGATATGTAAATATTTGGAAACTAGATGGCGTTGTGTCAGATGTCCGAAATATTATTATTATAATATTTCGTTCATTATCTTATGACGTGATTCTGTAAAAAATCATGGAGCCTTTAACATGGTATTCAATTATTTGATTCCTGCATGTGTATTGGTTATCAGCTTAGTTATAAACGTTTTGATTATCCAATCACAACGTCCAATTATATGACTCTAAGGATGGTTAGACGTTATATTTTTTATGACTCCGATACAAACAGTTCTTACTTAATATAATTCTTTGGCTATAATTTTATAACTTTAAATTGAACTGAAATTTATAGTCCCCTTTCAGTTTCAGCTTCACCGCCTCTAAAGAAAAGATTTTGTGTTCTTTTGACTTCACAAAGGGCCTATTAATAACCTACTAAGATAAGATTCCAAGAATATTTTGCTTCGTTTTGCTCCAAGGAATAGTTTATGGGTTCTGTCAGATTTTCTTTCATGATCTTATTACAATGTACGTTACTACAATATATTGTATAAAACAGTTATATGTTTACTTCATATCTATATATCTGGGCTATTAATTAAGTCAGATGTTGTGGGTTTACTTCTTACCCTAAATAAATCATTGTGTGAAGAGCGATAGCGTTTTTCTGTATCTGAGTGTAATTTATCTATATTTCTATTTAAAGTATGTGTATCTGCAGTCTGGATACCATAGTACAGGCTATAGTATAGTATTCAGACTGCAGACAGTATCCAGTAGGTCGTGTGTGAGTTGTGTAAAGTTATACATGATGAAATCAACCCACAGTAATTCAGTTGTACCTGATTCATGTTCAAATAGGTCAAAATACGCGTCCCGCCTAAATATCACCTCAATACTGTCTAATCTTATTACAGGACAACAGACGGTTTCTAAATGTACAAAATAAACAAGGCTGTTAAATTAACCACAGAGCATCTTACAAATTCATCCATTTTTCACCCAATGATCATTTCGTAGGATTTATAAGCAATTGAGTAGCAGCCCTATCGATGGGTGTCGTGAATTTATGGCGTTTTAAAAAGATTTTATTCTATTAGCCATTGGAATTCGAGGGTGGCACTTATCCTGTATTTTTCGTGGATAAAAGGTTTAAGGACGAAGTTTGGTAAGATATTACAATTAAATTTAAAGTATATTTAAGAGCATGTCCAGTGATTTATTTCAGAGAATAATGTGATAGTTAAATGAATTTGTGACTTTGGGTTCCGGCTTAACACCGGTGATCTATGAGCTGTCACTTTATGATACAGAGAGAGAAAAGGACAAAGTTACTAGTGTAATAAATATTTTATAATAGTAATATACAATAATAAACAATAAAAATTAAATTATAAACATAAATAAGAAAAATATGAATGTTATTTTAAATGTTCACAGAAACTAAACGCAGGCTTGGTTCCACCAGTAATACAAATTACGTTTAATACGTTTTAGATGACTTTAATTAATAGTAAATAAATGAATAAACGAAATATAATAACTTATAAACGCCTACTATTTAAAAATAGCACCACACAAACATTATGTTTGCCAGGCGTTTACCGACAAGCAAGCGGTGCTGTACCTAACCAACCAACTCATGCCGTCGCGTCCCGCAGGACATTTGTTCGCATGTGTGTAGTAATTTTAGTGTCCGTGCACAGTTCGCATACGCACACACCCATTTATTTTATTTCCCCGCCTCCAGCCGCAGGCTACTGAAGTTAGTTCGGAGTAATCGGAAATGTTCGTTGACGCCATGTTCGCGGGGGCCATTTTTTTTTTTCATGTGATAAGCATTGTTTACTAATTTGTTTCCGCCAGTATAATTATAGTTTTATTTTTCATTTTAACATTTGAAAGTGTGTACATTTAACAGTTTATTATTGAGTTCCGTTGATTTTTTTAAAATGTTATTCTTGAAGACGTCTTGAAGTGCTCGTTTATCCTTGGCTCTAACTTTTAATTGGGATTGCAACAAACATGTTTTCAAAAAGTAAATAGCTTTAGCCATCCACCTTGCTTGATACATCGCTCCACGAGGTCAATTTTTTTTTTTTCACTGTCTTCTCCTAAGAAAATAATTGATAGTTCAATCAGTTTCCGATAATCGTCACGTACAATGTTTTTTCGCAGTTTTTGATTATAAAATGTCAACAAATCTTCTATTGTTCTATTATAAAAATATCGTGTGACGATATCGGTGTATATTTCAATGGCAGTAGGATTTAATAGTTTGCCAGTTATCTAAAAGCTTTTTGAACAGTGAGATATCAGGGCTACTTCTGACTTGGTGGATTTTTGTTTCAAACACACATTTTAAAACCAGTTCGTAAACATGATGGCGGTTAGCAAAGAGTAGTAATTCCCTGTCTAGTTTTTGTTCCAAAAGTACATAAGTTAATTTCAATCTTCCTGTATTAGACGCAGTTGTGTCACACCACATTATTTGCTCTTTGTCATCGAGGTTCCAGTCATAAAGTGCGTTCAACACAGCTTCAGCTTGATCCTGGCCAGAAGAGCTCTACACTTTGGGTAAATCAAGAAGTTGTTCCTTTTCGCCTGCAAATTCTAATTTAATTTGCAGGCGTTCTTCTTTAGAACTTCTCACGTCAAGTCCATGTAGCAATTTCCCATCCCAGTGAACGGTCACCATTTCAGGCAAATTATTCCGAAAATTTGATTTTATAGATTCCGCTCTATCTTTGTTGAATGTGTTGAATGGACGATTTGTTTGCCGGAACATCATCACAGCTAAGATCTAGTGCTTCTACTACAGCTTGAAGTATATAGAGAGAATCCCAGAAAGACAGAATATGCTTAATTGACACCTATCTAAAGCTACTTAGTCGTGATAACGACTTTCCTTCCTCTTTTTGTAGTAGTTTCAGAGCTTACAATTTGAGGATTGCAAGGGTTCCTTAAGGTTTTGCGTCAGAGCTGGTAAGTTGATCGTGATGTCCTTACTTTTGTATAAAATCTTGCGTAGTAACAGATAAGGATAAACCTCCGAAACACATTTGTTCATATCTTTTTTCTCTTCATTTAATTTTCTTTGTTTTGCCCTTTCTTCTTTTTCGGCGCACTTTTTGTCTTCTAAACACCCTGAACGCTCTGGTTCTCTTTGTTTTTGTAAAAATATTTAATCTGCTTCAATTTTCATCCATTGCAAAGCATTCGCGTGTGTTATATCAAATAAATGATCTAAATTGTTTTTAAAGTCCTCTTGTAAATATCTTTTATTTTTTTGTTGTTTTTTGTTTTAGGTACAGCTCTCGTAGGGATTCTAGCTTTTCCCAAAATATTATACACTTCCGAATGACGAGATTAGCGCTTTCACTAACAGTCAATTTAACTTCGTTTATTTAAAAAACAAGGTACTGCAAGAACTATACGATATTTAAGATCTTTTTAACTGTCACAATACGCTAACGAGTTTACGACATCACATACCACGTAGGTATGTAGCGTGCAGTTGACGCAACTTAAGAATCGTGGAAGACGTTGTGTTTGGTATTCCGGGGCTCTTCAATAAGTATGACTTCTTTCGGTAGGTAACGTTTAATCAGCTTTTACAATGAGTATATATTATGTATAAATCATCTAAATTAACAAAATGGTATATAATACAAGGCAGCGCTTGAACGTGCCGTGCGGTAGGTTTCTATATTGAAGTTATTTTTCTAATGTTCGTGGTGGGCGTTACGACCACGGGCCGTTTACGAAGACCGTTGTATGTCTTGCGACGGTGAACCGTTTATAGGTACAGCTAGGTAATGGTGAGCGTAGACATCTTCCCCCCCTCGAAGACCTTGGGACTTCGAGGATCTTCATCACGCTCATTAGGTAGCGGGCAGAGGTTTGTGATGGCACGACGGATAAGACCCCGGGCGGTGTTAACATCTGCGACGCGTGCGATACCATCAGCGCCAGGATATAATTTATAGATGCGGCCCATGTGCCACTTAAGTGGTGGTATGTTTGGTTCCTTGAGGACCACCATATCGCCTTCAACAAGCTTTCCTTCATTGACGCGCCATTTACTTCGCTGCTGTAGCTCGTTAAGGTACTCTGTGCGCCATCTCTCCCAGAATTGCTGCCGAATCTTCTCGATTTGTTCGTATCTTCTGAGACGACTTGTATTGAATTCGGTAAGGGACGGAGATGGCAATGAAGTGAGAGGTTTACCGATGAGAAAGTGCCCGGGACACAAAGGATAAAAGTCTGTAGGATCGGCTGATAAAGGGGTTAAAGGTCGAGAGTTCAAAATTGCTTCGACCTGTGCAAACAAAGACGACAATTCCTCGAAAGTGAGATTAGTGTTCCCTATCATCCGAGTTAAATGATGTTTGGCGGCCTTTACGCCTGCTTCACTAAGTCCGTTAAAATGCGGTGAATAAGCAGGCGAGAACTTAAATTGAATAAATTCACCGGCAGCGTATGACGAAATGGATTCGCGACAAGATTCTAAAAATCTCCTGAATTCGTTATTTGCACCCACAAAGTTTCGGCCATTATCGCAGTAAATCACGCTAGGCTTTCCTCTGCGAGAGATGAAACGGTTTAAACACATTATAAATGCCTCCGCGCTCAAGTCTGATGCAATTTCCAAATGAAGTGCTTTGGTTGTGAAACAAACAAAAATACATAAGTAGCTTTTTATTATCCTGCAACCACGCCCCTTTCGGTCACGAGTTGGAAAAGGACCGGCGAAGTCGACACCGGCAACCTCAAATGCAAAGGTAGGATTGACTCGAGCGGAGGGTAAGTTTCCCATAATTGGAGTAACTGTTTTAGCTTTTAGAATTTTACATATCTTACAATTATTTACAGTGGATTTAGCTAGTTTTCTTCCCCCAACAGGCCAGAATAACTGTCTAATGTTAGTCAGTAAGAGCTGTGCACCCCCATGACACAACTTTATATGTTCGTGTTCGAACAATAATTTAGTAAAGTGATTTTTTGAATCTAAAATTATCGGATGTTTTTTACTAAAGATTTCAGATGAGTTTTGAATTCGTCCGCCTACTCGGAGAACGCCCTTTTGGTCTACAAATGGTCTGAGGGAGAGTATTCGAGACTTCGGAGGTAAGCATTTTTTATTATTTAATAATCCTAGTTCGAGTTCGAAACATTCCCTTTGATGTTGTTTTACTAGATGTTCTAATGAGGATTGCAGTTCATCTGCTGTCAGATGACCTGTAGTTTTATTGTTTAAGTGTTTTAGATTGTAGGTAAAACGATATGCATAAGCTAAACTTCTTAGTAAAATTTTAAACTTAGAGAATTTTTCACAATTTATCAAGTTGTCAGAAGTTAATTTTAACGTTGTAGTGCATGTTTTAGATGTAGTTTTAGTTTGATTTAGTTTGTGTTGAGTACTAATTTTGTTTTTCATTTCAGATATATCGGAGCTGAGTTTTATTACTTCAGGCCAGGCTGATGGCCTTTCTAAAAGGAACGAAGGACCACGCCACCATAAATCAGTTTCAGCAACTTGTGTTGGACTGACGCCACGTGACGCTAAATCTGCAGGGTTTTGAATGCCTGGAACATGCCTCCAGGATCCAACAGCTGTTAGTTGTTGAATCTCTGCGACACGGTTTGACACAAACGTTTTGAGATTCTGTGACGGAGTACGGATCCATCCGAGTACTACAGAAGAGTCAGTCCAATAATAAATGTTTGTGATTGTGAGCCGTAAAGCTTCTATTACTTTCGCGCTTAACCTAGCAGCCAATAAGGCTCCACATAATTCAAGACGTGGAATGGTCTGGACTGTCACCGAAGAGACCCTTGTTTTCGCGCATAGCAAGTTAACTGTTACTTTACCTGAACAAGTGATCGAGCGCAAATAAACGCACGCAGCGTATGCATCTTGTGACGCATCGCAAAATGTATGCATTTCAATTATAGCTTCGGAATTGTTGCCAAGAACAAATCTCGGAATTCGGAAATTAATTAGGCTTTTAAGTCCCGACACAAACGAAAACCATGATTTTGACAAATTTGTGGGAATAGCATCATCCCAATCTAACTTTGAGAGCCATAAATTTTTAAGTATTATTTTTGGTATGATTGTGCACAAACTCAACAACCCGAGAGGGTCAAATAGTCTAGCTGAGTTTGAGAGAATAGACCGTTTGGTCGCTACAGATGAACCTTTTATTTCGACAGGAAAGTTAAAGGTATCCGAGCGTGGATCCCATTTGAGTCCCAACGCACTAGATTGAGTACTGAAGTCTAAATCTTTAGGTATTAAGATGCTCGTGTTATCTTTCAGGATGGACCCGATGTTAGAACGAAATTTACGCAATGGCAAGTGCGCTGTATGAAGAATTTCCGTTATTGAATTTATTGTATAACATAGGTCTTCCTTTGAACTACTTCCGGTGATGACGTCATCAATATAAAAATCATGTTTTATTACGTTTGCAATTCTATTATCATTGCACTCGTTAGCGAGCTGAACTAGGCACCGTGTACTTAAGAACGGCGCAGAAGATGTACCGTATGTAATTGTATTTAGTTGGTATATTTTAATTGGCTGATCCGACTGCTCACGCCATAAAATCATCTGGAGATGACGTTGTTCGGGTTTAACTAGAATTTGTCGGTACATCTTCTCAACGTCTGCAGTTACTACATATTTGTGTTGTCTAAATCGCAGCAATATGGAGAAGAGGTCGTCTTGGACTACTGGTCCCACGTATTGGATATCGTTAAAAGACAGTCCTGACGACGTTTTCGACGACGCATCAAAAACGACGCGTAAGCGCGTAGTTTCACTATTGTGTCGTATCACAGCGTGATGAGGGAGGTAGCATCCCTTTTCAGGTTTAGAAATCTCACTCATATGTCCCAGGCTCCCATACTCTTGCATAAATTTAGTATATTCCTCTTTAAATTCCGAGTTTTGTTTCATCTTTTTTTCCATTTGAATAAGTCGCCTTTCGGCTGTCTTAAATGAGTCGCCTAGAACATCTGGTGAATCACGCAGAGGGATTTGTACACAAAATCTACCATCCCCTTCGCGCTGCGTAGTTTCATTATAAAGTGTTTCACAATAATCGTCACTATTTGATGTAGGTTTACTGTTAGGAATTTCTTCTAACTCCCAAAACTTGACAAGTTGCTCTTGTATAGTTTTACTAAAGTTGCAATAGACCTTGTTAGGCCGTTTATAATAATTAACCCAATTACGGCCGGCTACGATCCATCCAAGGAGTGTCTCCCGAAGAACGGGTTTATCTCGTCCGAGCTTCACTTGAGAAGAACCCAGAACGTCCCAGAAGATCTCTGCGCCTAATAGCAGATCAATGTCTCCTGGGCGAAAGAAGGCCGGATCCGCTAATTGGAGGTTGCTGGGTATATCCAGCTCATTCACGCGGATTTCCGCTTGAGGAAGAACGTCGGTAATAACTGGTAAGACATAACATGTCACATCACAGCTGTACGAGCTATACGTCGACTGCACCTTGATATTGCAGTGTTCGGCAATGCCTACTGTCGCATTTTGAAGACCGGACACATATTGAGATTCTTTTGTTGTAACACAAGCTAACTTAGCCCGAGCCGCCTCCGTAATAAAGGAATATTGCGAGCCATTACCTAAAAGGGCGCGTAATTTAAATATGTTGCCATTGTTTGACACCTCAACCACAGCCGTAGCAAGAAGAGCCAGGTTTGAGGAGCCAGCAGACACTGTAACTATCGGATTAGGGCTGGCCGACCCGTTTTTACTATTAATAGTTGCTTCAAGGCTATTAGGTAAGTTGTTCGTGGATGGTTCCACGTTATTTTGTATTTCATGCCGTGGAGATGATGATGATTGCGATTGACGAGGTTGAGAACCACTGGGTAAGTTGTTTGATCTATGAAGTAAAGTATTGTGCCTCCTTTTGCAGACGCGGCAACCCGCAAGGCGGCATTGGTACGATAGATGATCATTACGTAAGCAATTACTACATATTTTCCATTGATAAACCTTTGCATTTCGTTCTTGAACAGACATAGATTTAAATTTATTACAATCGTATAGTTTATGATCTTGTTTACAGGCTAAACAATTACCACGGGTAACTGTATCGAGCGGAGAAGAAACAAATGATTTAGACCTATTATAATTGTTACGATTTTCGACCTTATTATTATGGTTAGAATTATTTAAAGTTTTGGTGGCGTAGACTGTTTCTAATACAGTTGCCCTTTGACGAAGAAAGTTCAAAAAATCGTTTAAAGTATGGATCTCTAATTTGCTTCGATGCTCCTCCCAATTTCGGGCGGTCACCGAGTCCAACTTCGATGAGCCTAGGTAAATGATAAACGTGTCCCAACCATCGGTTGGCTCGCCTAACGACTTTAAGGCACTTACATTTTTGGAAATTGCATCAACCAAGTTGCGCAGGCCCCGGTCGGACTCCCTAGACAGCGCCTTAATTGAAAATAGACACTTAATGTGTTCATTAATTAATAGACTCTTATTATTATACCTATCGCAAAGCAACGACCAAGCAGTTTGATAATTATCTGCCGAAACGCTGACCGAATTAATAACCGCTAATGCGGAACCCTCCAAATATGTTTTTAAATAATGAAATTTACTGATATTGTCTAAACTATCATTGTTGTGAATGAGAGATAGGTACATATCTCGAAACTGAAGCCATTTACTAGTGTCGCCACTGTAAGGAGGAATTTTTAACGGCGGCAGTTTAACGTGATTTGTAATAGAAGCAGAACTGCCGCGGCATGAAGATTCGTCTCCCTGTTTTAATTTGCTATCATTATAAGCTTCTAAGAATTCCTGAGCGGTTACGATCAGCTGGAAGAACTGGTTTTCTGTTTGTTCCCTTTCTTCCATCTGTTTTGATAAATCGGAATCTAATCCCTCGATTTTACTTTGAACTTCGTCGAAAGTGTAGCTTAACTCTTGAAATTTAGTTAATCTTAAACTTAACTCATTATTAATTAATTTGTTACGCTCAGTTACACTATCGAGACATTTTAATGGAGTTAAAAACCTTTCGAATAATGTTATGCGGCTCCTTATTGTAGCCCTTTGCTTTATAAGCTCCTTTAATTCGGTCATAATGTGGGCGCAAATAACAAAACAAGTATAAGTTATAGAGTAATTAAAAAGAATCCAACCTCGTAACGGTGAGTCGAACAGCTGACCGCTGATAACTTTTAACAGATATTCACAAGTATGTACCGGGCGGCCGAGCGCTGCGACACAGTGTCACTCGGTGCGCTTGCTGGAAACCGCTGAGCACAGTCGTTGGCAAAGGCACTTGTTCTCGCCGTCTCATTCGTCGATATTTTTCTGAAATAGTCGGCAGTTACGTTTAAGTATCTATACAAAATTTATTTCTTTATTTGAGCGGGTCTATTATTTGTTCAAATTTAATGTAAATTGTAATTTTCTAACAACGAGATTGGACACTGTGTAACACTGTGTTAACACACTATATTTAACTTTAATTTTGAAGATGATGGAATAGTTTTATAATGTAAATACTTAATTTTTATTTACTTTTACACTGTAATGAATTTGTTTTAATGTAAATCTTGCATAAAGTTAGAATAATTACAAAAATTTGTTAACAAATATGAGTAGGTCGGTACCCACCGATCGAAATCTCACACACTAACTGCACCGGAACTATCGCACTCAATCAACACAACTCGAAAACAAATACTTTCACAAGGATAGGATTAATTTTATTAGGAACGGGCGTACTTCCCTCGGATCCAGTGTTCACTTATTCCGGGATATCTTGCCTTCCTGGTTGCATCATCTAAATCACGTCGGGGTCACCATAAATATGTTTGGTATTCCGGGGCTCTTCAATAAGTATGACTTCTTTCGGTAGGTAACGTTTAATCAGCTTTTACAATGAGTATATATTATGTATAAATCATCTAAATTAACAAAATGGTATATAATACAAGGCAGCGCTTGAACGTGCCGTGCGGTAGGTTTCTATATTGAAGTTATTTTTCTAATGTTCGTGGTGGGCGTTACGACCACGGGCCGTTTACGAAGACCGTTGTATGTCTTGCGACGGTGAACCGTTTATAGGTACAGCTAGGTAATGGTGAGCGTAGACACGTTGCGTGATTGAAGTCAACGTCAAATAAGGGATGCCACACAAAAATTAGTAATTTTTTTAATCTATTATTAACTAAAAAAAATCGTTTATTCTTGACACGCTTTTCTGTCGCACACGATCACATACTGTGTAGCGGGGGAGTTTTACACTATACTCGAAACGGACACAAAGAACACCCAGACTCAGAACAAGAAATTGGGGATTACACAAAGTGTCATTCTATGTAGGAATCGAACTCACAACACTCGCTGGCGCTCGCTCGTGGCGACCGCTTAAACCACTACGCCATCCGTGCAGTCAAGTCAAGTGACTCGGACCAAATTAATCTGACCGAATATTTACAATTCAACATAGAATACTGCCATGAGTATATGTTATCTATGCCCTTTCTAAGGTTCCGTCTATCACTATACCAAACCTTCTCTAAATTGTTACAGCGGTTCAAGAGTAATAACTTAACAACGAGCAAAGAGATATAATGACCATCGCATTTCTAATTTAAGATTTAGACTAAGACTACCTAAACTCTTCTTTAATGCATGACATAATGAAAAAAAGTCAATATCATTATGCCAACAATTTTTTAAACCTTTAGAGATTTGATACGAAATTAAACTGTTCAAAATTAATTTTACTAGGCGATTTTCTCTTATAAAATATTCGTGCAAAATAGTGTGTGGTACCCCTTCAATACAGGTGTCCAATCAACGTAAGAGTGTTTATTTTGTTATGGAGGGCCAAGTAATTTACCATGTTTTGTTTACGTGGTGTCAATTAGCATTGCTAAACTTTAGGGTCACCACAATAGGTATGCTAGAGCTTCCTAAGAAAATTACTTTAAAAAAAGTATCACTGACTTTTTGCTATACCTCTTAAATTTTCCACCTTAAGGGTTGGATTCTTTCTTCAAATCAATTAGGATCTTAAATTATAAATTAAATAATATATAAAATAATAATAAAATTAAATAATCACGTAAAAAGTATGTCTTCCCAGATAAACACCTGCTTTCTTGAGTCGATTCATAATTGATAACAGTTCGGAAAAAAGAAATTCAACAGAATCTATCCTATGAGCATAAATTGGAGTCTCTCTAGAGATTCCAATTTATTTGAACTTGGTTAAAATATACACTTCGTAGTGACAACCCTATATTCACACGATGTTTCTTCAAAATCCTTGTCGAAAGTTGTTGACAGTTTATGAAACTTGATCATGTTTTGTGGTACGTTGTGATGAAAATTTACTTAACACGAAACTAGTTATGCATAAAAATGTTAGCAAGTCTTCAGATTTTCTTAAAAGAACTGTGATACTTTAGAACTTGTAATTCTTTTAAGTAATATTGTTATTAAAGTACTTTTAATACAGGGATGGTTTAATGGTTCATTCAGCCTCGAAGTAGCTTAAAATAAACTATTTGGAGCTTATTGTATTTTGTATTTGTTGATACACAGGGATATTTCATGTAAAGTATTAAAATGCTAAGGAGATATTTTAGGAAATTTAATTTTATCCATCCGTGTGATAACGGATTAAGAATACGGAGTGTCACCACTGTGTGAATTCATTTCAACTACGCAGCTTGGTGCAACACAGGGTAAGGCAGAGGTAATTCGCAAGGAAAATTATTTATTTTAAAAAGGTGGATAGGAGACTGTACTCGAGATAGTCAGCTGTTGCTAGGAAGTCTTATAATCAGAATATATATTATATACTATACTTACATATCACATATTATCCGTATGGTGACGGCGTCAACAGTCAATTTGACAATTATTTTTAAGAAAAATAAATTAAGATGAATTAAAAGGATAAAGATGCAAATAAGAAGCGTATTTGCAAAAGCTCTCTCCCTCTATATTCTAGTTTGCAAATAGGTTATAATGCCGCAAGTTAAACTGAACTCCACAATGAACCTCACAGAGTCGTAGTCCTACTCTACGAGGGTTGAGCACGTAAACATTTGAAATTTATCTCTAGCGCTCAACTCCATTTAAATAGTTCTGTATTATTTTGTTGTTGTAAAGTTATCGAAGTTATCATGCATTTGCAAAGGTAAAAGGAAATGGAATAAACTTGATGCTTACTATTTGACGTTCACTAAGATTGTTACAGTAGTAGTTTCTGCGTTATGTCATAGGTTATGATTTGATTTGTGAATTTACTTTGACGAATAAAATAAGAATAGATTTTTTTGGGTACATTTGTTATATCTTAGGAAATATAAATGTAAAGCACTTTGGATGCGGTTTTCGTTTTCATTCCGAGTACAGTCACACGCGCTACGATAGTAATTTAATAGTACTAATGTTCAGAGTGAACATAAGTGAAGAATGGAGAAATTTTATAAAATTCCCGATGTGTTAATTTCATGAGCACTTATTGTATTGCACTTACAAGTTACGAACATTACTCTACTATTCTGAATTAAATTGATTTCATTGCCTTCGTTTAGCAGTTTATGAGAGGAGAAGAAGAGAAGGATTGATCGCACAATAGATGGCATTTTTTTATTAAATCTTACATAATTTGTCCGGTTTATAGTTTGGTTTTAGATAGATAAAAACTAGTTCTGAAAAAGTAACACCAATCCCATAACGTATAATCTTTCTTTTTTATTATTATATCAGAACCAAATATAAGCGAGGTTAGCGTATTTAAATAATAAAACAAAACTTAATGAAGCTTTATTATATGAAAATAATACGTAGCACCTTTATTCAGTGACGTAAAATTTGTTGTTTTTTTTTTTTGTTTTTATTAAAACGCTGATTTGAAACCCAAACCTGAAATGCTGACAACCAAAATTATTCGCAAGATCTAAAAATATATAAGCGAGTACAATAGTCTACCTTCGATGATATTGTTTTTTTTTTAACGTTCTAGTTTTACAAAATGGGAAAATTGTCCAAGATGCTATATCGCTATTTGCTGCTACTTAATTAATTATGACTCTGGTACCTTAATTGCACTTAGATTATAGTGTAGATTATCGAATATGCGTTAATTTGACTATTGTAAGTAATTAAAGAATTTATAGCCAGAATTGTGTATCTATGTAGTTGCTACATAGCGGAGAGTAACCAATATTGAACACTAAATTGGATCACTTCTGTATTTATACCACAATTGCACTATTTTTTAAAAACTAGTAACAAAAAAGGAGCGCTTGCGCCACTAGTACTCCATCCACTCCTCCATTTTGTAGCGCTCCTTTTTGTGCCAATAGACTATACCAACTAGTGCCATTTTGGTAGAAATACATAAGTGGTTCATTTGAAGCGCCAGTTCAATATTGGTTACTATTCCTTAATTACTAAATTATGTGCATCCAAATACTCTTAGCACCATTTCTAAGAGATGTAATTTTGTACTTATGAATAAGGATAGTTATTCAATTTATCAACTTTAGAAAACCTTTTTGTTTCTAACATATTTATGTTGAAGTCGAAACCATTTGGATCGTGCAGTATTTCGCACGTTACAAGACTGCTTGTATTTAAAACATAATTTCTGGTAATAGCAGACTAGGTTCTATCTGCACTGTTGGTATGAAACTCATGTACTAAGCGTCATTGGTCGGGCTGAACTTCTGTACCAATTCAGTTATTTTGTATTGAGTAAATATAGCCCAAGTTAGTGGGGGATAAACATCAGTCTATTTTCAGCAATGTGGCGCTGTATGAGTACGCTAAATTCGTAAAGGCCTGTTTTCAGATTGAGAGCTAGCCAGGCTCAGTTTATGACCTACTCTTACCACGAGACTATCGACATTTTGTTCCATGATTTAAATGAGTAAATTGAGTTGGAGATGTATGCTATACCACTTACACATTGAAATCGATGTCGGTCTAATTAGTACAATCATTATAGAATGTAGTTTATTCGAAACGGCAGGTAAAAAGAATAACTATGTCTAAAGGTTAGTGTATTTTTAAAATAACTTATACAGACAGGGTTAAGCTTCATTTTC